AAAAAAGTTTAAATAAAAAAAATCCAGGTAAATAAAAAAAGCTTAAATTAGCTAACCTTAAAACTCCAAATTATTCCCGCATCATATGGTTAAAGATGTGCTATTGTACATGGAGAAAAAAAATGCAATTTAAAGTTTGTTGGAGTAAAGCTTTCTTCAAGTACATGAGTTGATGCACCATCCAATATGAGAAGAATTGAATAGTGAGCAAGTCGCATTTGGTTATCTAGATGCTTAATGTAATTGTTAAAAATTGATGTTTGCATTCAAGAGGAACTATTCCAGTAATAATACATGGGTAAAGTGGATTTATCAATATTTTTGAGAGCTCGAGGGGTTTTAAATTTATGTATAAACAGAGGGAGAGTTTGTGATCACTGGTTGCATTACATGTAAGTAATATAGTAACACGGTCTTTGGCTTTTTTTTTCCTGCAACTGGGCCATCAGCTAACGTTTTATCAGGTTCCATACACCAGTATAATGCAGTTTCATCAGCATTATAAACATCCTCAGGCTTGTATTTTTTGATTAGTTCTTGCAACTCACTGCGAAATCTGGAAAAATTCTCAAGAGGTGCACTTGCAGCTTCACCTAAACATTTGTATTTCTTTATATGGTACCTTTTTTTGAAATTTGAAAGCCACCCATCAGATGTGTTAAAACTTGTCACTTCAAGCCCTTTCGTGAGTTGTGTTGCTTTACGTTTAACTATTGCACCTGTAATTGTTTGCAATGCAGTATTTGCTCTTGATATCCAAAGCGCAAGTGCTTCTTCTACCAAAGGATATTTTCCAGTCCTTTGTTGCTTTGAATAGGCATTGTTCGAGTTTAAATCAAGTGTTAACCACTTTTCTTTTTTATAAACAATACCTGAGATTGTAGCTTCGGCTACACCAAACTGTTCGGCTAGTCTAATTTGACTAACTCCTTTTTGCTTTAGGTGGCATATTTCGGCTTTCTGAATACCGGTCAGGCTTTTTTTTGTATTAGTTTTTTTTTTTTTACTGTATTTTTGTTTCTTTTTCATCGGCTCTTCAGAAGGTCCTTCCATTGTTGCCGTTACAAGTGATAAGAAACAAAAAAAATAGGGAAGAATGTTTCTAAAATAAGAAATAGCGCAACTTCATTTACCAAAATGAAAATGACTAAGATGTAAAAAAAAAAAAAATAAAGGAGCAGTATTTTAATTGAAAAAAAAAAAAGAATAAATCTTTTAAAAAAAATAAAAAAAT